GCTAGCGTAGCTTAACACAAAGCATAACACTGAAGATGTTAAGATGGGCCCTAAGAAGCTCCGCATGCACAAAGGCATGGTCCCGACCTTATTATCAACTCTAGCCCAACTTACACATGCAAGTCTCCGCAGCCCCGTGAGTAAGCCCTCAATCCCCTGCCCGGGGACGAGGAGCAGGCATCAGGCACAAATCTTTAGCCCAAGACGCCAGGCCGAGCCACACCCCCAAGGGAATTCAGCAGTGATAAATATTAAGCCATAAGTGAAAACTTGACTCAGTCAGAGCTAAGAGGGCCGGTAAAACTCGTGCCAGCCACCGCGGTTAAACGAGAGGCCCTAGTTGATAGTACAACGGCGTAAAGGGTGGTTAAGGACAGCGAATCAATAAAGTCGAATGGCCCTTTGGCTGTTATACGCTTCTAGGAGTCCGAAGTCCAATATACGAAAGTAACTTTAAGAACGCCCACCTGACCCCACGAAAGCTGAGAAACAAACTGGGATTAGATACCCCACTATGCTCAGTCATAAACCCAGACGTCCAGCTACAATTAGACGTCCGCCCGGGTACTACGAGCATTAGCTTGAAACCCGAAGGACCTGACGGTGCCTCAGACCCCCCTAGAGGAGCCTGTTCTAGAACCGATAACCCCCGTTAAACCTCACCGCTTCTAGCCATCCCAGCCTATATACCGCCGTCGTCAGCTTACCCTGTGAAGGCAATAAAAGTAAGCAAAATGGGCACAACCCAGAACGTCAGGTCGAGGTGTAGCGTACGAAGCGGGAAGAAATGGGCTACATTTTCTATCATAGAATACTACGGACATGTAACATGAAATAGTGCTTGAAGGAGGATTTAGTAGTAAAAAGGAAGCAGCGTGTCCTTTTGAACCCGGCTCTGAGGCGCGTACACACCGCCCGTCACTCTCCCCTGTCGAAATGCAATAAAACTACTTAATATATAAGCTCTGACAAGGGGAGGCAAGTCGTAACATGGTAAGTGTACCGGAAGGTGCACTTGGATAAATTCAGGGTATGGCTGAGTTAGTTAAGCAACTCACTTACACCGAGAAGACATCCATGCAAATTGGATTACCCTGAGCCAACCAGCTAGCTTAATAACCAATATAACTTAACAATATTTTTAACAAAACAAGACCTAACCCCACGAACTAAACCATTTTTTTACCTGAGTATGGGAGACAGAAAAGGTTCGCCTAAAGCAATAGAAAAAGTACCGCAAGGGAAAGCTGAAAGAGAAATGAAACAACCCATATAAGCACTAAAAAACAAAGACTAAACCTTGTACCTTTTGCATCATGATTTAGCCAGTACCCTCAAGCAAAGAGATCTTTAGTTTGATACCCCGAAACCAGGTGAGCTACCCCGAGACAGCCTATATAATTTAGGGCTAACCCGTCTCTGTGGCAAAAGAGTGGGAAGAACTCCGGGTAGAAGTGACAGACCTACCGAACCTGGTGATAGCTGGTTGCCTAGGAAATGAATAGAAGTTCAGCCTCGCACACCCTTAATCAAGATATACATCATCAAGACATTATGGAAATATACGAGAGTTAGTTGAAGGGGGTACAGCCCCTTTAACAAAGGATACAACCTTTACAGGAGGATAAAGATCATAATAAGTAAAATATACTGTTCTAGTGGGCCTGAAAGCAGCCATCTAAATAGAAAGCGTTAAAGCTCGGACAGAGAGAAGTTTATTATCCCGATAAAAAATCTTACTCCCCTAACTCTACTAGGCCAGCCCATGCCCACATGGGTGAGACTATGCTAAAATGAGTAACAAGAAGATTTGATCTTCTCCTGCCACAAGTGTAAACCAGACCGGACCAACCACTGGAATTTAACGAGCCCAACCAAAGAGGGCATTGTGAACAGTAAAGACCTCAAGAAGAGCTCACAATTAACTAATCGTTAATCCCACACTGGAGTGGCATTTTAAGGGAAAGACTAAAAGAAGGGGAAGGAACTCGGCAAACACAAGCCTCGCCTGTTTACCAAAAACATCGCCTCCTGCAGTATAAAGTATAGGAGGTCCAGCCTGCCCAGTGACTACGGGTTCAACGGCCGCGGTATATTGACCGTGCAAAGGTAGCGCAATCACTTGTCTCTTAAATAGAGACCTGTATGAATGGCTAGACGAGGGCTTAACTGTCTCCCCCTTCCAGTCAGTGAAATTGATCTATCCGTGCAGAAGCGGGTATAGTTCTACAAGACGAGAAGACCCTTTGGAGCTTAAGGTACAAAATTCACCCATGTTAAACAACTCCATAGAAAGCAAGAACTTTATGGGTATGAAACTTTACCTTCGGTTGGGGCGACCACGGAGGAAAAACAAGCCTCCGAGTGGACTGGGCCAAAATCCCTAAAGCTGAAAGAGACATCTTTAAGCCGCAGAACATCTGACCAATAATGATCCGGCTAAAAAGCCGATCAACGGACCAAGTTACCCTAGGGATAACAGCGCAATCCTCTCCCAGAGCCCATATCGACGAGGGGGTTTACGACCTCGATGTTGGATCAGGACATCCTGGTGGTGCAGCCGCTATTAAGGGTTCGTTTGTTCAACGATTAAAGTCCTACGTGATCTGAGTTCAGACCGGAGCAATCCAGGTCAGTTTCTATCTGTAACGCTGCTTTTCCCAGTACGAAAGGACCGGAAAAGGGGGGCCCATGCTTAACGCATGCCCCGCCCCTAATTCATGAAAACAAATAAATTAAATAAGGGAGGGCCAAAACCCCTGCCGCCCAAGATAAGGGCATACTGGGGTGGCAGAGCATGGTAAATTGCATAAGGCCTAAGCCCTTAAAACCAGAGGTTCAAGTCCTCTCTCCAGTTTATGCTTAACACCTTAATACTTCACCTAATTAACCCACTCGCCTATATTGTCCCGGTCCTACTAGCGGTGGCATTCTTAACCCTGCTTGAACGGAAAGTATTAGGATATATACAACTGCGAAAAGGACCTAATGTGGTAGGACCATATGGTTTGTTACAACCTATTGCCGACGGAGTTAAGTTGTTTATTAAGGAACCTGTTCGCCCCTCCACATCCTCCCCATTTTTATTCCTAGCAACCCCTATTCTTGCACTAACCCTTGCTCTTACCCTTTGAGCCCCTATACCTATGCCCCACCCAGTTATTAACCTGAATTTGGGTGTCCTATTTATTTTAGCACTGTCAAGCCTTGCAGTATATTCTATTCTTGGCTCAGGATGAGCATCTAATTCAAAGTACGCACTCATCGGAGCCCTACGAGCAGTTGCCCAAACAATTTCGTACGAAGTGAGCCTTGGACTTATTCTACTCTCAGTGATCATCTTCTCTGGCGGCTACACCCTTCAAACATTTAATACAGCCCAAGAAGCCGTATGATTACTCATTCCTGCATGACCTCTAGCTGCAATATGATACATCTCCACTCTTGCAGAGACCAATCGGGCACCTTTTGACTTAACAGAAGGTGAATCAGAACTTGTCTCAGGCTTTAACGTAGAATATGCTGGTGGCCCCTTTGCCTTATTTTTCCTCGCTGAATATGCCAATATTCTACTAATAAATACCCTCTCCGCCGTATTATTTCTAGGAACATCATATTTTCCAGCTGTACCTGAACTAACCACAATTGGCCTGATAATTAAAGCCGCATTTCTTTCTGTAGTATTCCTCTGAGTACGCGCCTCTTATCCACGATTCCGCTATGACCAACTCATACATCTGGTGTGAAAGAACTTCCTCCCCCTAACACTAGCCCTCGTCTTATGGCATGTATCCCTCCCAATTGCACTGGCCGGCCTTCCACCACAACTATAGCTCAGGAACTGTGCCCGAGTGCCCAGGGACCACTTTGATAGAGTGGCTAACAGGGGCTAAAATCCCCTCAGTTCTTAGAAAGAAGGGGATCGAACCCATGCCTAAGAGATCAAAACTCTTAGTGCTTCCTCTACACCACTTTCTATGATGGGGTCAGCTAAACAAGCTTTCGGGCCCATACCCCGAACATGACGGTTAAAATCCCTCCTCCATCAATGAACCCGTATGTATTAACCACACTTTTGTCTAGTCTTGGTCTAGGAACTACCCTTACCTTTGCCAGCTCCCACTGATTATTGGCCTGAATAGGACTAGAGATTAATACTCTAGCAATTGTCCCGCTGATGGCACAACATCATCACCCCCGAGCAGTAGAAGCTACCACAAAGTACTTTCTTACCCAAGCCACTGCAGCTGCCGTAATTCTATTTGCAAGCACAACTAATGCATGAATTACAGGAGAATGGGATATAACTAACATATCAAACCCAATCGCTGCTGCAATTATTCTTGCCGCCTTGGCACTTAAAATTGGACTAGCACCAATACATTTTTGAATACCTGAGGTCTTACAAGGACTAGATTTGTTGACAGGACTTATTCTGTCTACCTGACAAAAACTTGCCCCCCTCGCCCTGATTGTTCAAACAGCCCAGGCTTTTGACCCACTTCTCCTTACGACCCTCGGACTCATATCCACCTTAGTAGGAGGGTGAGGCGGATTAAACCAAACCCAGCTACGGAAAATTCTGGCTTACTCCTCAATCGCCCACATGGGTTGAATGATCATTGTTCTTCAACATGCTCCCCAACTCACCCTTCTTGCATTATTAACATATATCCTAATAACATCTGCAGCATTCCTAACCCTAAAGCTATCATATGCCACAAAAGTTGGTACCCTTGCAACCACATGATCAAAAAGCCCACTATTAACAGCAACTACCGCCTTGGTTTTATTATCCTTAGGGGGCCTCCCCCCACTTACCGGATTTATACCAAAGTGACTAATTTTACAAGAACTAGCAAAGCAAGACCTCCCCCTCACCGCAACCGTAATAGCTCTAGCCGCCCTAATTAGTCTGTATTTTTACTTGCGATTATGCTACGCAATAACTCTGACCATCTCCCCTAATACTATCACCTCAACCACCCCTTGGCGAACTCAAACGAATCAGGCCTCTATTCCCCTGGCCCTCTCCACCGTAATAGCTCTCGGCCTTTTACCCATTACCCCTACCATTATGACACTCGTTATTTAAGGGCTTAGGATAGCACCAGACCGGGAGCCTTCAAAGCTCTAAGCAGAAGTGAAAATCTTCTAGCCCTTGATAAGACCTACAAGAGTTTATCTTGCATCTTCTGAATGCAAATCAAATGTTTTTGTTAAACTAAGGCCTTTCTAGATGGGAAGGCCTCGATCCTACAAACTCTTAGTTAACAGCTAAGCGCTCAAGCCAGCGAGCATCCATCTACTTTCCCGCCGTTTAGCGAGTAAGGCGGGAAAGCCCCGGCCGGGTATTAATCTGCGTTTCTGGATTTGCAATCCAACGTGATACTTCACTACGGGGCTTGATAGGAAGAGGACTTAAACCTCTGTCTTCGGGGCTACAACCCACCGCCTGGGCACTCGGCTACCCTACCTGTGGCAATTACACGCTGATTCTTTTCTACAAATCACAAAGACATTGGTACCCTTTATCTAGTATTTGGTGCCTGAGCCGGAATAGTGGGGACCGCTTTAAGCCTCCTAATTCGAGCCGAACTAAGTCAACCGGGCTCACTTCTAGGTGACGACCAAATCTACAATGTTATTGTTACTGCTCACGCCTTTGTAATAATCTTCTTTATAGTAATACCAATTCTTATTGGTGGGTTCGGAAATTGACTTGTACCTCTAATAATCGGAGCACCTGACATGGCATTTCCACGAATAAATAACATAAGCTTCTGACTCTTACCCCCGTCATTCCTACTCCTCCTAGCTTCTTCTGGAGTTGAGGCCGGGGCCGGAACGGGGTGAACTGTTTATCCACCACTTGCAGGTAATCTTGCCCATGCAGGAGCCTCAGTAGACCTCACAATTTTCTCTCTGCACTTAGCAGGTGTATCATCAATTCTAGGGGCAGTTAATTTTATTACTACAATTATTAACATAAAACCCCCAGCAATCTCTCAATATCAAACGCCCCTCTTCGTGTGAGCCGTACTTGTAACTGCTGTGCTTCTGCTCCTATCACTACCTGTTCTAGCTGCCGGAATTACTATACTTCTCACTGATCGTAATTTAAATACTACATTCTTTGACCCTGCAGGAGGAGGTGACCCTATTTTATACCAACACTTGTTCTGATTCTTCGGCCATCCAGAAGTCTATATTCTTATTTTACCCGGATTTGGAATTATTTCACATGTCGTAGCCTACTATGCAGGTAAAAAGGAACCATTCGGCTACATAGGAATAGTTTGAGCTATGATGGCTATCGGCCTTCTAGGATTTATTGTCTGAGCCCACCACATGTTTACTGTCGGAATAGACGTAGACACCCGTGCCTACTTTACATCTGCTACAATAATTATTGCCATCCCAACCGGTGTTAAAGTATTTAGCTGACTTGCTACACTTCACGGAGGTTCAATCAAATGAGAGACTCCCATACTATGAGCCCTGGGATTTATTTTCCTCTTTACAGTCGGAGGATTAACAGGAATTGTTCTCGCCAACTCATCACTTGATATTGTCCTCCATGACACATATTATGTTGTTGCCCATTTCCACTATGTACTATCAATAGGGGCTGTGTTTGCCATTATAGCAGCATTTGTACACTGATTCCCACTATTTTCAGGATATACCCTAAATGATACCTGAACAAAAATTCACTTTGCTGTAATATTTATTGGTGTTAACCTCACATTCTTCCCACAACATTTTCTAGGCTTAGCAGGGATACCACGACGGTACTCTGATTACCCAGATGCCTACGCCCTATGAAATACAGTATCATCTATTGGCTCACTCGTCTCACTAGTAGCGGTGATTATGTTCTTATTCATCCTATGAGAAGCCTTTGCCGCTAAACGAGAAGTATCCTCAGTAGAATTAACTATAACAAATGTAGAATGACTACACGGCTGCCCTCCCCCTTACCACACATTTGAGGAACCAGCATTTGTCCAAGTTCAATCAAATTAACGAGAAAGGGAGGAATTGAACCCCCATGTACTGGTTTCAAGCCAGCCACATAACCACTCTGTCACTTTCTTCTGGAGACATTAGTAAATATGCACATTACATTACCTTGTCAAGGTAAAATTACAGGTTAGACCCCTGTATGTCTTAAATTTAATGGCACACCCCACACAACTAGGATTCCAAGACGCGGCATCACCCGTTATAGAAGAACTTCTTCACTTCCATGACCACGCTCTAATAATTGTATTTTTAATTAGCACAATAGTACTCTACATTATTGTCGCAATAGTCTCAACCAAACTCACCAATAAATATATTTTAGATTCCCAAGAAATCGAAATTGTATGAACAGTTTTACCAGCAGTAATTCTAGTCCTCATTGCCCTCCCCTCCCTTCGCATTTTATACCTTATAGATGAAGTCAATGACCCCCACTTAACAATTAAAGCTATAGGACACCAATGATATTGAAGCTACGAATATACGGACTATGAAGACCTAGGATTTGACTCATACATAATCCCCACTCAAGATCTTACACCCGGACAATTCCGACTTTTAGAAACAGACCACCGAATGGTAGTCCCTATAGAATCACCAATTCGTGTTCTAGTATCCGCTGAGGATGTACTACACTCCTGAGCCATCCCATCTCTTGGTGTAAAAATAGATGCAGTACCTGGACGATTAAATCAAACTGCCTTTATTGCCTCACGACCCGGTGTATTTTATGGACAATGCTCTGAAATTTGCGGCGCTAATCACAGCTTCATACCTATTGTAGTCGAAGCCGTCCCATTAAAACATTTTGAGAGCTGATCCACACTAATACTAGAAGACGCCTCACTAGGAAGCTAATTATTGGACAAAGCGTTGGCCTTTTAAGCCAAAGTTTGGTGCCTACCAACCACCTCTAGTGACATGCCTCAACTCAATCCTAACCCTTGATTCGCAATTCTAGTATTTTCATGATTCATTTTCCTCACCATTATCCCAACCAAAATCTTAAATCATCTAACACCCAATGAACCAGCCCCAATAAGTGAAGAAAAACATAAAACTGACTCCTGAAACTGACCATGATAACAAGCTTCTTTGACCAATTTGCAAGCCCTTCTTTCCTAGGAATTCCACTCATCGCTGTTGCAATTGCACTTCCCTGAGTATTATTCCCAACCCCCTCATCTCGCTGAATAAATAGTCGACTCACCACACTTCAAGCATGATTTATTAACCGCTTCACTAATCAGTTACTTATACCTTTAAATGTAGGTGGACACAAATGAGCCTTAATATTAACCTCATTGATAATATTTCTTATCACTATTAATATGTTAGGTCTCCTACCATATACCTTCACTCCCACAACTCAGCTATCACTAAATATAGGACTTGCTGTACCACTCTGACTTGCTACAGTTATTATTGGTATGCGAAATCAACCAACAGTTGCACTTGGCCATCTTCTACCCGAAGGAACCCCTATTCCCCTGATTCCTGTATTAATCATCATCGAAACAATTAGTCTATTTATTCGACCCCTGGCCTTAGGAGTACGACTTACAGCCAACTTAACTGCAGGTCACCTTCTTATTCAACTTATCGCCACAGCCGTATTTGTTTTGCTACCCATAATACCAACGGTCGCAATCCTTACAGCCGCCGTCCTATTCCTCTTAACGCTCCTAGAAGTTGCAGTAGCAATAATTCAAGCCTATGTATTTGTATTACTTCTAAGCCTCTATTTACAAGAAAACGTTTAATGGCCCACCAAGCACATGCATATCATATGGTTGATCCCAGCCCATGACCACTAACCGGAGCCGTCGGTGCCCTACTAATAACATCCGGCCTAGCAATCTGGTTTCACTTCCACTCAGTAACACTAATAACCCTCGGTTTAATTCTACTGCTCCTTACAATATTTCAGTGATGACGTGATATCATCCGAGAGGGGACCTTCCAAGGTCATCATACACCACCAGTACAGAAAGGGTTGCGGTACGGAATAATCCTATTTATTACTTCTGAAGTATTCTTTTTCCTGGGTTTTTTCTGAGCCTTTTATCACTCAAGTCTAGCCCCAACACCTGAATTAGGAGGGTGCTGACCCCCTACCGGGATCACTACATTAGACCCCTTTGAGGTGCCGCTTCTTAATACAGCCGTATTGTTAGCATCCGGTGTAACTGTCACATGAGCTCATCATAGTATTATAGAAGGTGAACGAAAACAAGCCATTCAATCTCTTGCACTTACAATCCTGCTCGGGTTCTATTTTACTGCCCTCCAAGCAATGGAATATTATGAAGCACCTTTTACAATTGCAGACGGAGTATACGGCTCAACATTCTTTGTCGCTACAGGATTCCATGGATTACATGTTATTATTGGCTCAACCTTCTTAGCCGTCTGCCTTATCCGCCAAATTCAATACCACTTCACATCTGAACATCACTTCGGCTTTGAGGCCGCTGCGTGATACTGACACTTTGTAGACGTAGTATGACTATTCCTTTACGTATCAATTTACTGATGAGGCTCATATCTTTCTAGTATTAAAGTTTGTACAAGTGACTTCCAATCATTTAGTCTTGGTTAGACCCCAAGGAAAGATAATGAACTTAATTATAACTATTTTTATTATTGCTGTAGCCCTGTCATCAGTACTAGCAATTGTATCTTTCTGACTACCGCAAATAAACCCGGACGCAGAAAAGCTATCCCCTTACGAGTGCGGGTTTGACCCACTGGGTTCAGCCCGATTACCATTCTCCTTACGATTCTTTCTAGTAGCAATTCTATTCCTTCTATTTGACCTAGAGATTGCCCTCCTCCTCCCGCTACCATGAGGCGACCAACTTCATAGCCCAACCGGGACATTCTTTTGAGCCACCACAGTCCTAATCCTATTAACCCTTGGATTAATTTATGAATGAACCCAAGGGGGCTTAGAATGAGCGGAATAGGGAGCTAGTCTAAAAAAGACCTCTGATTTCGGCTCAGAAAATTGTGGTTTAAATCCACGGCCCCCTTATGACACCAGTACATTTTAGCTTTACCTCAGCATTTATATTAGGACTTATAGGGCTAGCATTTCATCGCACACACCTACTTTCTGCACTGCTGTGCTTAGAAGGAATAATACTATCCCTATTTATTGCACTAGCTCTATGGACACTACAATTTGAATCAACAAGCTTTTCTACTGCACCTATACTGCTACTAGCTTTTTCTGCTTGTGAGGCAAGCACAGGCCTTGCACTTTTAGTAGCTACAGCCCGAACCCACGGTACTGACCGTTTACAAAACCTTAATCTTCTACAATGCTAAAAGTCTTAATCCCCACAATCATGATATTCCCAACAATTTGACTGGCTTCACCTAAATGACTATGAACAGCTACCACCGCCCATGGCCTCCTAATTGCCTTTATTAGCCTCTCATGATTTACCTGAACTTCAGAAGCTGGATGAACTTCATCCAACGTCTACTTAGCTACAGACCCCCTATCAACACCTCTCTTAGTTTTGACATGCTGACTCCTCCCCCTAATAATTTTAGCCAGCCAAAACCATATTAACCCCGAACCCATTGCACGTCAACGCCTGTATATCTCACTTCTTACCTCTCTACAAGCTTTTTTGATTATGGCCTTTGGCGCCACAGAAATCATTATATTTTACATTATATTTGAAGCCACTCTTATTCCTACACTTATTATTATCACCCGCTGAGGAAATCAAACCGAACGTCTCAACGCAGGTACCTATTTTTTATTCTACACCCTAGCCGGGTCCCTGCCTCTTTTAGTGGCCCTACTGCTTTTACAACAGTCAACAGGAACTCTATCTTTACTAATTATCCAATACACCCCACCTATACTGATAAGCACTTGAAGCCATAAAATCTGATGGGCAGGTTGCTTAATCGCATTTTTAGTCAAGATACCTCTTTATGGTGTACATCTATGGTTACCAAAAGCACATGTAGAGGCCCCCGTTGCAGGATCCATAGTTCTGGCCGCAATTCTACTAAAACTTGGGGGATACGGGATGATGCGCATAATAATGATATTAGACCCACTCTCTAAGAACCTAATTTACCCATTTATTATTTTAGCACTTTGAGGCATTATTATGACCGGGTCTATTTGTTTACGACAAACTGACCTTAAATCATTAATTGCCTATTCCTCTGTAAGCCACATGGGCCTTGTGGCAGGAGGGATCCTAATCCAAACGCCATGAGGTTTTACAGGAGCAATTATCCTTATAATTGCCCATGGCCTAGTATCCTCAATATTGTTCTGTCTAGCTAATACGGCTTATGAACGAACCCACAGCCGGACTATAGTTCTCGCTCGAGGTTTACAGGTAATTTTCCCTTTAACAGCTGTCTGATGATTCATTGCAAATCTAGCCAACCTAGCACTACCTCCACTGCCCAACCTAATGGGGGAACTTATAATTATTACCACTCTCTTTAGCTGATCCCCCTGAACCATCGCACTTACTGGACTAGGAACACTGATTACCGCAGCCTACTCCCTTTACTTATTCTTAATGTCTCAACGTGGCCCAACACCACACCATGTTATAAAACTCTCCCCATTCCATACCCGAGAACATTTACTAATAGCTCTCCACCTTATCCCGGTAATTCTCCTTGTAACAAAACCAGAACTAATGTGAGGGTGATGTTACTAGTAAGTATAGTTTAACTAAAACATCAGATTGTGATTCTGAAAACAGGGGTTAAAACCCCCTTACTCACCAAGGAAGGACAGAAATCAATAAGTGCTGCTAATACTTATGCCCCGAGGTTAAAATCCTCGGCTTCTTTACGCTTCTGAAGGATAACAGCTCATCCGTTGGTCTTAGGAACCAAAAACTCTTGGTGCAAATCCAAGCGGAAGCTATGACCTCAACAACCCTAGTCATATCCTCCTCATTCCTTTTAATCATTACAATTCTTATTTTGCCCCTGCTTATGACACTAAGTCCAGCCCCTCAAAAACCTAATTGAGCTGATACCTACGTAAAAACTGCCGTTAGCACCGCATTCTTCGTGAGCCTACTACCACTTATGATTTACCTCACCCAAGGAGCAGAAATTGTTATCACAAACTGACAATGAATAAATACACAAATATTTGATGCTAATATTAGCTTTAAATTTGATCACTACTCCCTTATTTTTACCCCTATCGCCCTTTTTGTGACATGATCTATTTTAGAATTTGCCCTCTGATACATACACTCTGACCCCAACATGAATCGATTCTTCAAATATTTACTTCTTTTCCTAGTAGCCATAATTACTCTCGTAACAGCTAACAATTTATTTCAGCTATTCATTGGCTGAGAAGGAGTTGGTATTATATCTTTTTTACTTATTGGCTGATGACACGGGCGAGCAGACGCCAACACCGCAAGTCTTCAGGCAGTAATTTATAATCGTGTAGGAGATATTGGACTAATTCTAGCTATGGCTTGATTCGCCATGAACCTAAACTCTTGAGAGATGCAACAGATTTTTGCTTTATCAAAAAATTATGATATAACAGTACCACTAATTGCACTTATCCTTGCGGCAGCAGGCAAATCGGCCCAATTTGGCCTGCACCCATGGCTTCCGTCCGCCATAGAGGGCCCGACGCCAGTATCTGCACTGCTACACTCTAGTACAATAGTAGTTGCAGGCATCTTTCTTTTAATTCGCCTCCACCCATTAATAGAAGATAATGCACTAGCACTCTCAGGTTGCTTATGTTTAGGTGCACTTACAACCCTATATACAGCTACTTGCGCACTTACCCAAAACGACATCAAGAAAATTGTCGCTTTCTCAACATCAAGCCAGCTTGGACTCATAATGGTAACAATTGGATTAAACCAACCGCAGTTAGCATTTCTTCATATTTGCACACACGCATTTTTCAAAGCCATGCTTTTTCTTTGCTCAGGGTCTATCATTCATAGCCTTAATGATGAACAAGATATTCGGAAGATGGGGGGCCTCCACAAACTTTTACCTATCACCTCAACCTGTCTTACAATTGGAAGCCTAGCACTAGCAGGCACTCCATTCCTCGCCGGATTCTTCTCAAAAGACGCTATTATTGAAGCCCTTAACACTTCCTACCTAAACGCCTGAGCCCTTGTCCTAACACTTATTGCCACATCATTTACTGCAGTCTACAGTTTCCGAGTAGTCTACTTCGTAACTATGGGATCTCCCCGGTTTCTCCCACTATCCCCCATTAATGAAGATAACCCACTTATAGTCCAACCTGTAAAACGACTTGCCTGAGGAAGTATTATTGCAGGCCTCATTATCACATGCAACTTTCTGCCTATAAAAACATCAATCATAACCATACCTATTGCGCTTAAGGTAACAGCCTTATTAGTAGCTATTACCGGCCTTCTTGTAGCCATAGAACTTGCAGCCACAACTAATAACCCCTACAAAACTGCCTACAAGAACTACCCTCACCACTTCTCAAATATACTAGGATACTTCCCTTCATTGTTACACCGACTCTCCCCCAAAGCTAGCCTAATCCTTGGACGATCAACTGCTACGAAACTCGATCAAACCTGACTTGAGATCGTAGGACCAAAGTCAATTACTCTTACTCAAATAATGCTGGCACAAGTCGTAGGTAATATTTCGCAAGGAACCATTAAAAAGTTTTTAACCATTTTCCTTCTAACCATAATCTTAGCAATTGCCCTAATTATTATTTAAACTGCTCGTAAAGTCCCACGACTTAACCCCCGAGTCAATTCTAGTACTACAAGTAGAGTTAGAAGCAACACTCAAGCACAAATGACTAGTATTATTCCCCCAAAAGAGTATATTATAGCTACACCCCCAACATCCCCTCGTAGTACAGAAAACTCTTTTAACTCATCAATTGCTGCTCAAGAACCCTCATGCCATCCCCCTCAAAATAGTCCACCTATTAGTACCACCCCCAGTAAATAAACCAGAACATATCCCACTACCGAACGACTCCCCCAGGCCTCTGGGAAAGGCTCAGCAGCCAACGCTGCCGAATAAGCAAATACCACGAGCATTCCTCCTAAATAAATTAAAAAAAGGACTAGAGACAAAAAAGGCCCTCCACTACCGATCAATACCCCACATCCAACCCCGGCCGCTACTATTAGCCCCAAGGCAGCAAAGTAGGGCGTAGGATTGGACGCAACAGCAATCAATCCTATAATTAAGGCTATTAATAATAAAGACACAAAATAAGTCATGGTTCCCGCTCAGACTTTAACCGAGACTAATGACTTGAAGAACCACCGTTGTAATTCAACTACAGGAACAATTAATGGCAAGCCTACGAAAAACCCACCCACTGATAAAAATTGCTAATGATGCACTAGTTGACCTCCCAACACCATCTAATATTTCAGCACTATGAAACTTCGGATCTCTTCTGGGATTATGCTTAATTACTCAAATCCTAACCGGTTTATTCCTAGCAATACACTATACCTCTGATATTTCTACCGCATTTTCATCCGTCACACATATCTGTCGGGACGTTAATTACGGCTGACTTATCCGAAATATACATGCCAACGGCGCATCATTTTTCTTCATCTGTATTTACATACACATTGCTCGTGGCCTTTACTACGGGTCCTACCTCTACAAAGAAACCTGAAATATTGGAGTCGTACTACTTCTTCTCGTTATAATAACAGCCTTTGTAGGCTATGTACTCCCATGAGGGCAAATATCCTTCTGAGGTGCCACAGTCATTACAAATCTATTATCAGCGGTACCCTATATGGGGGATACCCTTGTACAATGAATTTGAGGGGGCTTTTCAGTGGATAATGCAACACTAACACGATTCTTCGCCTTCCACTTCCTATTCCCATTTGTAATCGCCGGTGCAACTGTCCTCCACTTATTATTCCTACACGAAACAGGGTCAAACAACCCCGCCGGGCTAAACTCCGACGCAGACAAAATCTCTTTCCACCCCTACTTCTCTTATAAAGATCTCCTCGGCTTTGTCCTGATACTGCTAGCTCTAACATCCCTCACCCTATTCGCCCCCACTCTTCTTGGCGACCCAGAAAACTTCACCCCAGCAAACCCCCTAGTTACTCCGCCACACATTCAACCCGAGTGATATTTCCTGTTTGCCTACGCTATTCTCCGATCTATTCCAAACAAACTAGGAGGGGTCCTAGCACTGCTATTTAGCATTTTAGTACTCTTTGTAGTCCCAATTTTACATACCTCAAAGCAACGAGGACTAACTTTCCGACCAATCACTCAATTCTTATTCTGAACCCTAGTAGCAGATATAATTATTTTAACATGAATTGGGGGCATACCTGTAGAACACCCATATGTTATCATTGGCCAAGTAGCCTCAGTTCTATACTTTGCACTATTCCTTCTTCTTGCCCCACTTGCAGGATGAGCGGAGAATAAAGCATTGAAATGAGCTTGCCCTAGTAGCTTAGCTTGAAAGCATCGGTCTTGTAATCCGAAGATCGAGGGTTAAACCCCCTCCTAGCGCCCAGAAAAAGGAGATTTTAACTCCCACCCCTGGCTCCCAAAGCCAGAATTCTAAACTAAACTATTTTCTGATGGACCAATATGGTTACATATTTTTGTATAGTACCTCATACCCGGTACGAAACATGTCCTTACACCTCCCATAGCACACCTGTGTTATGTGGGTAAGATACTCCTATGTATTATCACCATTCATTTTTTTTAACCTAAAAGCAAGTACTAACACCTAAGACGTGCATAAACCAAATTTATGTAATGTTCTAGGGTTATATATGTATTATCACCATTCATTTATTTTAACCTAAAAGCAAGTACTAACGTCTAAGACGTGCATAAGCATATTATTAAAACTCAGAAATAATTTATTCTAACCTGGGTTATAGGTTATTCCCCTAAATATCGCACTCAACATTTTCCTTGAATTAACTAACCACGATTTATTAAGATAATCTTAATGCAGTAAGAAACCACCAACCTTGTCTTTAAAGGCATATCATGCATGATAGAATCAGGGACATATCATGGAGATACGGTATATTGTGAATTATTCCTGGTATCTGATTCTACCTTTCATGGGCATGGCATGTTTATTCCCCCCTTCTAGAGATAACTTGCATATGATTATCGGAGTGGTTCATACTCCTCATTACCCCACATGCCGAGCGTTCTTTTATATGCATAGGTTCTTTTTTTAGGTTACCTTTCACTTACATTTCAGAGTGCAGGCTCAAGTAACATCTCAAGGTTGTACATTTCCTTGCATGGGTAAATTAGGTTAATGATTAAAAGACATAACTTAAGAATTACATTATACTCTATCAAGTGCATAAGGTATCTGTCCTTCTTCAACTTACCCTGATATAGATGCCCCCCTTTTTCGTTTTCGCGCGACAAACCCCCTACCCCCTTACGCTCAGCAAATCCTGTTCTCCTTGTCAAACCCCGAAAGCAAGGAAGGTCCGAGAGCGTCCAGACTAACAAGTTGAAATATGGGTTAGCCATCCGCATTATATATATATATATGTCACTTAACCCCTAAAAGTTTTCAAAAAAAAGAGCCTAAAAAACTCTATTGAAACCATAAATAATTTTTTTCAATGCTAAAAATTCGAACATAAATT